GGGGCAGGAGAGCAGGTAACAGGGAACCGAGTAATCAGAAACAGAATGTGGTCAGCCACAGAGGAACAACTGCACAAGGATGACTGTTCACCTCAATGGCCACTTGAAAAATGTTCATTATACTCTAGTAAAATAAGGGAATGCGTGGAGCACTCCTGTAATCCCAGTCTCTTGGGAGGCTGGGGCAGGAGGATCACAGGTTCAAAGCCAGCCTCAGCAACTCAGTGAGACCCTAAGCCACTAAGAGACCCTGTCTAAATAAAGCATAAAAAACAGGCTGGGGATGTTGCTCAGTGGTTAAGCACCCCTGGGTTCAATCCCCAGTACCAAAAAAAAAGGGGGGGAATTCTCCTGATGTTACATAGAAAGAAGTAAGAGGCATAAGAAAGAAACATCAGTGATTGACAAAAACTTCACCCAGTTAAATATCTTAACTGAAGCTGACCTTGGAGTCTTTCTCCTCTTCCTTCTCCTCCTCTCTCACACCCTGATTTCCCAGACACAGAACTTACAGTGAGTTTTACTCCTTCATTATTTCAGCTACATGATACACAAAATAGTTTTCTATGGTCTAGCAGACTACCACATCCTTAAAAAAAAAAAAATGCTATTCTAATGGTATAAAGTAGTATCTCACTTGCAATTTACATTTATTTGATTTCTATGAGTTTGAATATTTCTTAATATGTTTCTTAATCACTTTTCCACATATGTATCCCATTTTTCTGTTGGATACATACATGGAAAAGTGATACATTTCTTATTGATTTATGGAGGTTAATTCTGTGTATCAGAACTCATCTCTTGTCAGTTTTAAACGTCACAAATATCTTCTCCAAGTAAGCCATCAACCATTCTATGTGATTCATAAGGCAGAAGTTTAAAAAAATTTTGTGAAATATTTTTCCTGCATCTATTAAGATAATCACATGAAATTTCCTTTAGTAAATTAATTAGATGGATTACACGGATAGATGTTTATCATTGTAATCTATTCTTGCACTTCTGGGATGAACTAAGGCGTGATTCATGGCTTTACAGTATTTGCTGGATTTAATAGCTGTATTCATTTTCTAGGGCTGCCATAACAAAATACCACAGACTGGGTGGCTTAAACAACAGAAATTTATTTTCCTGTAGTTCTGGAAGGCAGAAGGCAAGATCAAGGTTTTGGCAAGGATCTGTTTCGTCTGAGGCCTCTCTCCTTGGCTGAAGGATGGCCATCTTGCCATTGTGTCCCCACATGGCCTTTTCCTGGAGTCTCTTTTCCTCTTCTTGAAGAATACCAGCCAGAATAGGTTAGGACCCAACCCTTTGACTTCATTTAACTTTAATTGCCTTTTTTAAAGTACTATTTCCAAATATAGTTACATTCTGAGACATGTACAAATTTGGAGAGGACACGGTTCAGCCATCGGGGTACCTAATATTTTTGTAAGTTTCTCGTTTATATTAACAAACAAATTTGGCTTCTAATTTTCTACATAAATGGTTTGAAATGTGGAAAGATTTCACTATTATCAGGAACTACTTGTATAAATTAGATTACGTGCTCCTTGAAATAGTGGTATATTTTCCCAGTAAAACCTCTGTGACCAGGGAGTTTTTTTGAATGTATGGGGTAAAAGAGAATCTTTTATTAGCATTTCTATTTCTTTAATATTTGTTGATCTATTCAAACTTTCTATTTCTTATCCTTCTAATTGTGACATTTTAAATCTTTTGGGTTTTATACAGATTTCAACTTGTATTTCATAGTATCTATTTACCTTTTGACTTTCTTTCACACTTTTTTTAAAAGTTCTTTTATTTTTTATTTAAAAGTTCTTTATTTTCAGGGATTTCAGTCATGGATTTTTTTTTAACCTTTATTTCACTTACTTATTTTTATGTGGTGCCGAGGATCGAACCCAGGGTCTCACACGTGAGAGGCGAGCGCTCTACTGCTGAGCCACAACCCCAGCCCTCTTTCACATTCATACCTTTCATTCAAGTGGAAGTGGCTTTGAATACAGTGTAAGCTGGGGCTCTAATTTTATGTTTCTCCTTATCAAATGAGCCTACTTTCCCACCGTCATCTAGACAACCATCCATTTCTTCTTCGATGACTAATAGACTCTCTTTATTATGTATAAAATATCTAACTATACATGCAAAGGATTTTATTTTTATTCTATCTTTATCTCACTGTCTTTTTTCTAATTCAAATGTTTACAAAGCATTAATACTTTTTTACCATACACATTTAATATCCCCAACAGTCCTGCAGGGTATTATCTGTTTTTTAAGTGACCAGACAGACTCAGAAAGATTATACTTAGGGTAAAGCTCACATAATCCTGCATGATATACCAAGACTTCAGACTCCAAATTAACTGCTCTTTTCCCAACTCCCATACCACCTATTTAAGCAGCTGGTTTCTTGTACCTAATTTCATCCGCTCAAGTATTTGTGGGAACCTACTGTGGACCAGACACTATTCTGGGTTCTAGGTAACCGGAGAACACAAGCCGGATGAAGGTCTCTACCCTCATAGAGCTCACATGGCAGACTTCAGTGGGCAGATCTGAACACAGAGATGGCAAATAAGAAACACATTTGAAAACAGCGACTATTCTTGTCCCCACTGGGTATCCATCCTTTCCAAGAGCTTGGTGCTTCCGTTTTTTTGAAGAATTCAAATAAGGCCCTGGAAGTTCCTGGACTTTAATGTGCAAAGGGTGACTTGCAGTCTCCAAGTCAAACAAAAGGCACTCTGGAGTCCTGAGACTATGTCCTTTGCTCTGCCAGAGACACCATTTTGGCCCTTTCCTCTCACACCTGAACTAAGTTAAGAACACGCCTCTATTCCCAAACCCTACTGCTGTGAATTCCACCTGGTTTTGGGAGGTCGAGATGTGGCTGGTGGAGATGGAGAGCAGCCATTTTCTACCATTGCTAAACCCATTACAGAGAGCTTTCTTCTCATTCTTAAATGTCTTGACAGTTAAGCCTAGAAATAAAGTCAAATTTATGTGATTCACCTAACTTCGTAGTGATGATTCAATTTAAGATTACTAAAAATTGACTACAGGATTGAATTAAAGGGTGCCCTAGTTCATCTCCCAGGAGATAAGAAGTGATCCTGAGAAGCAGATGGCAATATCCATTCTTTAATAGTCATTGAAGAGCTGGGTCCATGGGGGCCTGAACAAAAACAATATTCCCCAGCATTCCTTGCGACTATGAAATTAATTTCTGGCCAATAGAATTTGGAATTTCTCAGTCAAGCCCTTAAGAGGGGACTGTCCTCCCCTTTCTCTTTGGCTGGCTAAAAGGGAACCTAAGGGAATACCTTGGGCTGTGGACATGAAAGAATCACCCTGAGGATGGCACAGTGGAGAACTGAGAGCCTGACTTGTTGTGGCCACGTAGAACAGAACCTCAGTTTGAGCCGGGCTTTAACACAATAGAGAAAACAGCCTCTGTTTGGATTAAGTCACTTATCTATATGTTCACTAATGTCACCCATGTCCAACCACCCTCCCTGTTCTTCCCAACATCCACCTTCAGACCTTTCTGCAGCGATTCAAATAACTATCCTTCTTGTCGTCCATGTCCTGCTAACAATGAGTATCAAGTAGGGAATATATCTTCCATTGAAGTCACTTCACGTCAAACCCAAGGTATGGGCAGCCATATATTAAGAAGTCAGTTGACAAGCCATTAAGAATTTTGTAGTTTTTTTTTTATTATTTTACTATTAAAATTTTTAAATCTTTAAATCGGTTAATCTTCAAGTAAAGACTAATCGTATATTCATCTTTATACATTATATACATTTGAGAAATAAATAGAGTTTTAAGTAGCATTAAAAAAAAAGACTCATTATATACAAATAAGGCTTCAAGCCAAATGTATAAATACACAACCCACTGAGGATTCGGTCCCCAACCCTCCCCTTCCTGGAAATAGAAGTCAGAAGTAACCGGGACACAAGGCCAATAATACAAGTTTCACTTTGGCTAGAAAGCAGTTGCAGAAGTACACAGTGGATGGAGAGCACACTCTGAATTAAGGCTTTACTGGTTATGTCTTCAGAAGTTTGGCATTCAACAGTGACACAACTTTGGCACAGTGAAAATTAAAACAGTGTCCTTTAAAAAAAAAAATCTAAGTACAAAGAAAATTGCTCTCCCACCCCCACCTGATAGCACACCTCCTCCCAAATAATTCTCACCCATAAAAAACCCAACCTCTTGGCACAGGTTTCTCCTGGTTATATATTAATAAAAGAGTTTGGGATTTTATGGATGGCTCCGGAAGGATTCCATGTTTGTCACATCTGGAGCATATTGGCAGGAATTGGCTATAGATAGCTTCATGAAGTTTCAGAGATGAATGAACCATGAATTTTGCCTCCAGGAAATCTGGATCCTTGGCCCAGCTCCACCACAAGCTTGGTATATAATCCCAAGCATGTGGCTGAATCTCAGTAAGCCCTGATTTTATAAAATAAGGTTAATAATAGCTGCCTGCTCACCTTGCTCCAGGTGATGCACATGCAAATCGTTTGAAAAGTATAAAAGGGTTGCTCATCTATCATGTTTCTTCATTCAAATCAAGATCCAGAACTGAAGGCTTTTCCAAGTTCAATAGCATAAATGCATTGGTGTGAAAGCAAGATATTTCAAGAAGGAAAGCACTGTGTTAACTCTTAGCTCTGCTGACAGGGGATACTTTCTGTAACACAGGGTTGGTTCATTTTTGACTTTTTGCTGTCCTGGGAATCTAACCCAGGGCCTTGTATGTGCAAGGCAAGCACTCGACATGCATCCTCAGCCCCAGGTTTCTGTGTAAACAGTATGTAGAGCATATGTAACATCTAATAGATCCCAACCCTGTCTAGCAATTGGCCATGTGGTCCCTGCATGTATGATAAACAGCTAGTGATTGAATTGTCACTCTTGGAGGAAATGGCACCTGTTAACTAAAAAGAAATAGAAAGGAACCACTTAAAGCCTCAGTCCCCAACTCTTACAGCTTGGAGCCCACCCCACTCCCCTCCTGTCTTTCACCACATGGAATCCCATGGATCACTAAACTAGAAAGGATTCTAGAAAACGCCAACCCCATGAGCTTCCAAAGAGAAAGGTTGAGTAACATGTCTGCTGCCACAAGCTAATTGAGTGCCCAATAAGCACTTGTTCAATCAAGAGATGAACCATGGAAACAGTAGAGAGCAGATGATGTGTGCCTCAGAGGGTGAGCAAGGAGCTGGACGGAAGCTCTAAGATACAACCAGTATTGACCAGTGCAGCCCTGGGAACTCCCACAGCAGGGCCTCAGCCCCAGGCAAGATCTAAGGTTCCCTGTTTGGGCCAGTGAGGTAAGAGGACTGCCATCCTGACACGAGTCAGCTCTGGAGGAAAAGACCTCACACTAAGTCCCAAGTCAGGCCAAGTACAACCACTGCCCAGCCAGCCTTCTGGGGTCAGGCAAAGCCTGGGTTCACCCAGCCACTGGGAGATTGCTGGGTGTGCTCGAGGGCCCCGGGCATTCTGCTGCTCCCACACACACAGGTCTGGCCTTGGCTCCCAGGGGCATCAATGGAGGTTTGGAGTTAGACTTCATCTAGAGCGGCAACTGGTGCTTCAGCAGAGCAGTCTCCTCATGCAGGAAGTGGCAACCCTCACAGGCAACAGAGGTGGGCCCAGGGGCTCCAAGGTCAAGTCCAAGAGGAGTCCTTCACTGGGTGGGTCCTCTGCAGTAACTTTGCTCCATGTGCACGGACAGCTGGACGGCGGGGTTGGTTTACGTGCTGGCAACACGTCCAGGCACCCTCAGACCAGCTCCACAGTTGGACTGAAAGGAATCATACAAGTCCAGCGTTCGTTAGCTCACTCACCAGCACCTGGCAGCCCTGGACAGGGCTGTGCTCTGAATCAGCTTCTGACACCCCTGGGCAACTATTTTGCTCAATTTCCTTTCTGAGGAGCAGACAAGATCCTGACGGCTTCTTTCTCCTTCCTGCCCCCAAAGCCACAGCTTCACTCTGAGAAATACCCAGGGGAGCCTCTCTGGGACCTTAGTTGTGTATATAACAGCCCATACATTCAGTGTTTAGCATAGCAAGTGAACCCAAGCCCACACAAACAGGAGAACTATCAAAGTGCCCTCTTTGCCTCTGTCTAGAAACATAAGAAACTGTAATAAGGCAACAAAGAGGCAAGGCTGAGTCAAAAGGCCCCAATTCTAGTTTCAGCTACAGGAATGTGCTACTGAACCACTCTGAACCTCTGTCTTTTAATCAGTGAGCAGGTGTATGGTGTCCATGTCAAGAGGAAGAATATTGACAGTGTTGCATATGTCTAGGGATACCACAACTTCCTAGTGTTCATTTATTCCTTGAGATCCTCCTGTTTCCTGTTCCTTGCAGGGGAGGGGAAAGGGCAACTTATTTTCTAAAAGAAGTTTAGGTAAAAGGGTAAGGCAGGTCATGGCAATTTTAACCTTCAGAAGTTCTGGAGCAGAGAAGAATAACATATTTTAACCCTCATCATAAAAATAGCAGTCTTCCCAGTGTGGCCAAAGAACAAGGCTGTTCAGGGGATCCATGAAGTTAATATATGAGGAAGCATTTTGAAAGGTATAAATTTGGACACAAACATAAAGAATTAAAATCATAATTATAATGGAAAATCATATGAGCCCTCACTAGATGGAGTCCCTTAATTAGAGAGGCAGTCATTAGACCCCACACATCCTGTGATCACTAAGCCTGAGGTCCTGTTGATGCTCCTAAACTGGAGACAGAGCAGCTGGAGATGCAGCCCAGCCTTCAGGACTGGCAGACAGTTAATCACAGGGGACCCCCCAAGTATGCTTGATAATTAGTATCCAGACCAAGATGAGGTGATTCGTCTGAGCAGATAGAACCTTCGCACTAAAGAGCACAAACTTTAGAGCAGAAGGACCTGCTCCAAGTCCTCCTTTTGCCATCACCGGCTGGGGGAGCTTAGGAGAGTGACTTCATCTCCCTGAGCCTCGGTCTCCTCATCTGCACCCAGGGATAGCAACACCTGCCTTTTGGGGTTGATGATAAAAGCAAAAGATTGTGTAAGTCTCTGGATGCTAAGTGAGCATGTGCTAAGTGCTCAATGTATGCATGAACACATGGTCTCCCCTCATCCTCAGCAAGCATTTAGGCTCAGAAGGCATGTGGCTGGTTTCCCTGGAGAAGTCCACTGCCTCACACCTTGACCTGGGCCTTCCTCAGCCTGAAATCGTGGGATTCCAGGATAGCACAGTGGGACACTGAAGCCAAACAAGCTGTCCACTGACTCAGCTCCACACACGAGCATTCCTGATTCTCAGAGGGGTGAATCAGGCCCACTAATATCTACCCACACCAAACTGGGTTCCAGAAAACCTAAAAAGCGAAATATGCACCTCTCCCTCCCAGGCTGCTCCCACTCCAACCTGATTCCAGAAGAAGCTCAGAAGACTGGGTCTTCCCATAGCCCTGGTCACTACAGAGGAGATTTCAATCTAAAATGAGGGGCATGGACACCAACCCCAGGGAATCCGCAACTGAAAAACCTGATCCCAACAGGGCCACAGGCAATGAGCATCTTCAAGGGGAGGCAGACCAAGAGGCAGAAGGACATGCGCACCCTCTGACAACCTATGTTTTTCACTTATTTATCATCTACGTCCTTCCAGCAGGAGGTTGGCTTCATAAGCAAGGGGTTCTTGTTGGTTTGCTCATTCATGGCCCAAGTGCCCCGGTCCATGCCCAGCAGGTACAGGGTGATCAGAACACAGAGAAAGTCCTGGTTACCTGGTTTCATTTTTCATTCTCCAGCCATCCCGACACTTGTGAAACCAGAGCTCTTGGCCAGGGGATATGCTGGTGTTCTCAGGGTCTTCGGTGCAAAATGTCAGCCTAAAAAAACATAATAATAATAATAATAGAAAAAAGAAACCACTGACATTGCCAAAGCTCTAAGGGGATGCAGACCATACCCTCTGGATTCCAGGCAATTGGAGGCGGGAAAGGGAAGTTTTCATCATGCCGTGCCAATGCCAGAGCTTCAGAACAGCCATGGCCACGGCTACTGCTGGACTCCAAACTGTGTCTTAGTTTGAAGGTTTCTAGGATCCAGCTTCACACCTTCTCCCCTACCTACCCCAAATCCTGCCTGCCGTCAAGGCCATTGCCTCTTGGAAGCCCCCATGAACCTAATCCTCTCTGGACCTCTCAACTTAGTAAAAAGGCATATTCTTATCTAGATGTTGTTTTTACAATGGTCATTACTTCTTACAATGTGCAGTTAAAAGTGAATGTGTCGTTTTATTTTACAGTATTCTACACTGCCTGAAACTGCTGTTGGTTCCTATATCTACAGTCAACTTCTCCACTAGACTGTGAACTCCTTGAATGGAAGAATTCCAGGTGCCTCTAAGACAGCGCTCTATAAATACACATTGGCAAGAGTAACCGGAACCCAGCTGCAAGTCAAAGTGCACAATTCAGCAAATAGGCAGCCAAGATCACAAGAAATGGCCAGGGGCCTCGTAACCATTTCATGATAACCTAAGGCTATCCATGTAGCCTCCCTGGTGTTTGACCAGCATGACTGCATAATCAAAAATGTGTGAGGAACTTGACCCTGATACTGAGGCAGGACAAGAACCACATTTAGAATGGTTTAAAAACTTTTCCCAGGAATCCCTAAGGATGGCACACTCACAGTCTGGAAATGCAAATGAATACATTAGGGAACCCATGAGAATGGCAAGAATGTCCCACCAAATGGTGGTGAGAAGGAAGGAAAAGGAGAACTATTACTATGTGACCAAGATTGATAACTCGTTCAACCACTTTGGACAGAGAGTAATAATAGCTGATTATATTGGAGGCTGCACATATGAGAACTCAGCAATTCCACTTTTTAGTAAACTGGCCACAAAGAAGCCTCCACACAGAGGTGCAAGGAAAATGCACCAAGACATTCATCTCAGCACTATTTGTAATTACAAAAAAAAAAAAAAGGTAAAAGTTTAAGTATTCAGTGTTTGTACAATGATGACTTATAAGAATTAAATCTCAATGTATTGGATTAATTTCATAGACAATGTTTCCATGAAAAAAGCAACTTGTAGAGCTGGGATATAGCTCAGTGGCAGAGCATTTGCCTAGCCATATATTGTTTAAGGATATAAACAAAAATACTAATGGCATAAAAATATGAAGTAAGGAAACACTACCATTAGTTAATGTCGAAACATTCTTTATACTTGGTTTGAAAGAAGGGGAGGAATGAGACCAGGAAAGAGCACAGTGGGACTTCAACTGTGTCTATAATGTCTTACTTTTAAAACCTTCTATCTGAAACCAATAAGGAAAACTGCTTAATTTGTTAAGTCTCAATGGGGATTAAATGGGTGATTATTATATGTGAAATAGTTTGTAAAAGTAATCATCTTTCTGCTACCACACCCACAGGCATAGGCTGTACTTAGAAGAGCCTAGAGAAGTTAAAAAAAAAAAAAAAGACACAGGATTATCTAGTTCACTGGCTTAGCACTAACAGTCTCCCCCATCTGAGCCCCCAGACCAGAAGTGCCCAGAGGAAGGATCCAAAGCTCCAATTCAGCCCATCTGCTGCTATGCTGGGATGCAGGTGGATGGACGCAAACAAGACGTGTGAAGAATCGTAATGAAGAAAATGCCAGGAGAGGGACCGAGAGGGTGGAAGCTGCTCCCTCCCACCCCGAGGCTGGCAGTGACCACTGCAGAGGTTGGGGGGAAGGACGTGGTTAAGAAAACCCTCCTCTCTTGACAAAGGTCTCCCAGGCTCTGCTGGCTTTGAGCCCTCTTCCACTTCTGTTTAGATAGAAGCCTGCTCAGAGAGTTGGGGCACAGTATCAGAAGTTGACATATAAAGGTCTGGGTCTTTCATGCAAGGCTCAGGGTTCCAAGAAGTGGAGAAGTGCCAGCTGGCATGGCACAGAGGATTCTTTGTTCCTTGAAGGTTGAACTCTCGCCCTACATCCCCCACTCAGACTCTCTGGAGAAGAGAGAGCATCATGCTCTGAAAACAAGGTGCTGGGGGAAACCAGGTCCTCTCACACAGACCTCCTCAGTGGGACATGCTGTTCCAGTTAGCCCTGCAGTGAACAAATCGACAAGGCAGCACCCCTGAAGACCCCTTCACAGAGAAACCCTCCTTCCTCCAGGCTGACACTGGGCTTGGAAAACAGGAAAAGAGCTGAATTCCAGCCCCTCATTCCTAGTCCTCCCAGCCAAGAGCCTGTGATCAGAGCATAAGATCGGAGTCTTCTGCTCATCACTTACATGGGGCAGAAGAAGGGCCAGGAGTACTTACTTCCTCTGGGTTTCCCCAGACTTGACTCGGATGCGCCGGATATGCAGCTCCCACTTGGTGTTGCTGGGTTGAGACAGGTAGCTACGGAGCTCCTTCCACAGGTTGTACCAGGACTGTGACGTCCCCTCCCAGGTGAGTTTGATCTTTAAGAGGTCACCCAAGTCCTCCTCGGTGTAGACCAGAAAAGTGTTGGTGGCATTCAGCCCAATCTGCTCCACTCTACAAAGTGAGAGAGAAGCTTGTGTCACTCCCTGCCACCTGAAAAACTGCCTCACTGTGCCAGGTGACACAGTGGCAGCACCTCCCCCACAAGGACTGGAGAGAAGCAGAAGTCAAGTCCCTCCCACAGGACCAAGGTGAAAGTTCAGCTGTGTTCCACATTGACAGGGAAAAAACTTAGTCCACAGCATCTGATCTCTTATTAAAATCATTTCTATGTGTGATGTAACAAAATGCATTCTACTGTCATGTATAACTAATTAGAACAAAATTTTTAATTTAAAAATAAATATCTGAGCATCTCTCTGTTCATGCTACTACTTCCTGGGAAGACGGGACCAAGAAAGCAGCAATGAGAAGGCACAGGAAGTCACATCGCCACACAACACTGTGCTGTTCCTCTCTGCTCCTGAGTCTCCCTCTCAGCTCCTAGCCCCTTCCTGCTTGTCCCTTTCATTGAACACTCAGTGTGGCTTGCCCTGGCCCCAGCTGTTTGTCAGTGTGTATGCATACTAGACCCTGAGCCCTGAGCAGTGAGTTACTTTGATGATGTTCCTTCACAAGCTCAACATTACTTTGCAGGGCACGTTGTCCCTGTGGGTCCTCAACAAATACAGACAGACAGTCATGTGCCCCTCCCACAGCCGATCATTTAAAAGGTACAGAAATGACGTTCACCAAGTTCCAGATTCCCTAAAGCCTCAGGTGTCAGGCGTTGCCTGAAATGAAACAGCAGTTCTGCCCAGCTGATCCAGCACTTTCTCACGCCCCTGATTCATCATGGGAGGTTCCCTCCCAGAATGTTCTGAGTCAGGGTTGGTGGAGAGAACACCACAGGGAAAGTGGACTGGGGATGGCTAGAACCAGCCAGCCCCTTCCCCAGGCAATCCAACGTCACTCCTGCACTTGTTCAAAAGCTCCCTTCCCCTCTCAGTGTGAGCCAGCTTGTTCTGTATCTTGAGCCAAAGTTGCAAAAGGAAACTCAGGACTTACATTTCCAAAGGCAGAATCTGAGAGTCTGCATTGGTGCCATAGAGGGTAACATAAAAGGTGGGCTCAATCTCTCCTCTGTTCTTGTAACTGAAGATGTGGATTTTCATCTGGTAATGGTAAACTGTAGAGACAGCAAATCAAAGATGCTGGTGAGCCTTGCTTGTCATCTCAGGTACCCTCACCCACACCAACTCACCCAGCACCCTGGATTTTAGGGATTAACATCCTTTTAGTGCAATCTGGCCTCCAGCCTCCCTTTAGTCTTATTCTGTCCAAAGACATAAGAAGAGGTCACCACTAAGGAAGAGCCCTGAATTTAAGGATTAGGAGATGTTTCGGGGATTTAGGCCTCGATATCTTCTAACTGTGTGACCCTGGACTAAGGATTAAGGTGTTAACCTCTCTGAGTCTCATATGTAACTTTCTCATGTGTAGAACAATACCCACAAAACACTATAGTTCTATAGCACACTATAAAAATCATTTGTAATCCTCCGTTCATCCTAGTTCAGCTTTGTTGTGATCAAATGAGAAATCAAATATGAAATGGCTTTGAAAAGTTTAATGCAAGACAGAAATTTCAGATACTGATATTATGATCATATAGTGTTATTCACAGCACAGAAGGACTTCTCACCATTAGTTTTTGAAGAATAATTTTCTTAGGACATGCCCAATGGGATCTGATTTGCAATAATTTGATATGACTGTGCTGGCCACCACTCTTGGGAAACAAAATATTAAGGAGGAAAAAGCCAGATGCAGTGGCGCACACCTATAATCCTAGCAAATGGAAAAGGAACCTTAGAGAATGCCTTTTCATTAGTTTCATGAGAAGGAAGGCATAACAGAAGAAAAAGAAGTAAATGGAGCCAGGTGCAGTGGTGCACGCCTGTAATCCCAGGGGCTCAGGAGGTTGAGGCAGGAGGATCATGAGTTCAAAGCCAGCGTCAGCAAAAGCAAGGCACTAAGCAATTCAGTGAGATCCTGTCTCTAAATAAAATACAAAAAAGAGCTGGGGATGTGGCTCAGTGGTTAAGTTCCCCATGTTCAATCCCTGGTACCAAAAAAAAAAAGAGAGAGAGAGAGAGAGAGAGAGAGAGAAAGAAAGACTAAGGGCCACTTTGGGGCCCGAAGATTACCTCTGAAGGGCATGCCTGCCCGTGTTTTTAGGTACATTTTGCTGTTCCTCTTGTTTCGCATTTTCTTAGCGTTATAACCAATGCTATTGCAACGATTTTTCCGGCAGCTGAGACAGATCCCCTTTTTGAAGCGGTTGGAGTCTGTGCACTGGAAAGCGAAGCTCGGCTTGTCGTGATTCACCAGGGAATCCACAAAGAGGTGTACCGCTCGCTCATGCTCACATTTCATTACCTCCGTGATGGCTGGGGGAAAAAGACAGACCATGCAGGACAGGCCACTTCTCCATGGTGACCCACTCCATCTATAATCACTATACACCTTATCAGTGAGAGCTATGTTTATTCAGTTTATTAGTCTTTTCATTTGTGTAATTCTTTTTTTAATTAATTAATTTATTTTTTATTCCAATTTGTTATATGTTCATTTGTGTAATTCTTAATCCATATTAATCCGGGACCAGTGATGTGCTAGGCTCCTATGAAGATGTGGAAGAATTGAAGACTGTTCTGAACTCCTAACCTTGGTAAGAATACAGCACCAATAAGACAGAGAGAAATAAAGAGAGTTCATATAATAAGTGCTAAATACAGTGATGCAGACCAGCTGAGGGGTGGGAGTCACTAAATGCTACCAGAGCTGTATGGTCACAAAACTCAGGAAGGGCATCAAATGCTATACATCATCTAGTCCAGGGATCAGCAAAATATGTCTGGCCAGCTGGTCTTATAACTAAAGTTTTATTGGAGCATAACCCCATTTGTTGGTATATGTATTATTTGATCTTAGTCAAAAGGTGAAGAAGCAATGGTGTATGTATTCTCTATGGCTATTTCTGTGCTACCACCAGAGTGGATTAGTTGAAACAGAAATTGTATGGCCTATAAGGCTACAAATATTTACTAGTCAACCTTTCAGAAAATGCCCACACCATTCAACTCCAGACTATAATTCAAAGGCCCATATGCAGGACATAGTGGTGTACACCTGTAATCTCAGCAGCTCATGAGGCTGAGGCAGGAGGATCAAGAATTTGAGGCCAGCCTCAGCAACTTAGTGAAGCCCTAAACAACTTAGTGAGACCCTGTCTCAAGATAGAAAGGGCTGGGGATGTGGCTCAGTGGTAAAGCATCCCTCCATTCAGTCCACAGGACCAAAAAAAAAAAAAAAAGCCTATAAATGTAAGATAATAATTTGCTCAGGTTCATACAGACAATTGGTTGCAAAGTTAAGAGTATAATTTGAATTTTCTGGTCTATAATATCATTGTTCTTTGCAACCAGAGGCTGAAGTCAACAGTAATTGGTTGAAATAATTCCTGTAATCTTAAGAAAAATCTGGCAATGCTACCTCAGCACCTTCATCACTGGCACCACTAATTTAAGAAATGCCATCATCCCAAAGCTGGAGCAGAGGAGAACTACCCTCTCATGAGCCTTTCAGCCACTCAGAGCTACTTAGACATTAACCACATTGGGAGCAGGGAACAGCCTTAAGACCAAGTGAGAGAGTGGGACCTCCAAAGCACAAAGTCTCAGAGTGCAGACAGCCAAATGGAGTCAAGACTTGGGAAATGCTGCCAGCGTCCAGGGCAATGAGAGTATGGGAATCCCAAAGAGTGATCAGTCACTGGGCCACACAGCAATTTCAGCAGCAAACTGACTTCAGCCCAAGTCTGCTGAAAATAGGTTCAGGCATTCAGAGGATAAATTGTAAGTGAACAAGAAAAACTTCTTGGTTTGGCTTCTTTAAAATGTTACCAAAGCTTAAAATACAGTATAGCCACACTATAGAATATCATACAGCCTAAAAAAAATAAAATTAATAAATGTACTTTCTCTGATGTTGCAAAATGTTCATCATATATTACAACAGACCAAAGGAAGTTGCAGAACAAAGTGATTTGGGAAAAATTAGAAGAACATACATAAATTTGCACAGAAAACAGCCTGAAATAACACACACACACAAACATCCATGCTGGCCACCCTTGAAGAGAAAACATAAGAAAAAAAAAAAAGAGAGAGAAAACATAAGAAGGCATGGGGGGATGGTTATATTTTTTTGCTTAATGCTATTCTATATTGCTTGATTTTTTTTTCCAGTAAACATATGTGTGTTAATTTTGTCATAAAAAGAAATTAATCAATAACACCTGTGGCCTGGAAACACAAGAAAGCAAATGGATGCTATTAACAGGCATACAATAGGACTCAAAACCTTAAACACAACACTGGGGCCACTGTGGGAGGAGTGAGAATGATAAAATGACTTGTGTGGGAGCACTGATAGCTCTGGCTGATTTAGAAGGAGTTTGGATAAACTGAGTCAAACACAAAGCAGAAGATAAGACACTCACTTCCATATGCAATTGATCCCAAGACATCATTGAATCCACAGCCCGGCTGAAAGTCACCCCCGTTGGGGTAGATGTCAATGTGGCCCACAGGCATCTGAATCCCAATGCTCAAGCCAAAGGTTCCTGTGTGAGTGTGCAGAACATCCACAAAGTCCGCATCATCAGGGGAGAGCCTCTTGTTGATGTCCACCCCTTCAAACAAGGGCCCAGCAGGATCCAGACCTGCAGTAGGAGAAGCCAAGAGAGATGACGTCAGGTGCACCATGTCAACAAGGCCTGAGTTTGAGTAGAATTCCATTGTGCAGAATGAAGGTGCCCTCTGCACCGTGACATGGAAGCAGAGAATGAAATCAGGAACCCGTTTTCATATGCAGTTGACCCAAGACATTGCCATAGAGATTATATCCTGTGAATGGAGAGCTGACACTGCCTTCTGAAGCCTCCTTGTGACCTGATGCCTTAGCAGAACCAGGAGACTAGCTACAAGGTCCACACAGCCACCAGCTCTGAGGAACCATGGGTGGTCAGAACTAGAGCACTTCTAGAAAGAACCTGGGCTGCCTCAGTCTCAGCCATTCAGTCCAGTCATCTGCCACTGAGCCTTCCATGGCCCTAATTTCAGCAGAATTTTTACAAAACAAATAAGTGACTACATCCTTCTGGAAGAGTCAGTCTCTCTCAACTGAGCTATTTATATTTGGACTTACTCTTCCCTTTCCTTTAGTTATGAGTCAGGCCCAGGGATGGGATGGTAAGAAAGGGGATACCTTCAATACCCCTAAAACACTAAGGATGGAATCCATACACCACGCCTCCAGAATTCCTCTGTTTAGCAGCCACAATGAGAAAACCTTTTTGCCTCCAAACTGTCTGTATTGAGTCAGCAAGAAGCCCTGCATAGGGCCCTGGTCCTCACATCTGAGAATGCACCAAGAGGACTGGGGAGCTTGTTAAAAATTTGGGATGTACCATGTAGCTATAAGATTTAAAAAAAAAACCCTCTGGAAGAATGGGCAATAGTTATCTGTAGTTATCTGTATGTATCTTCCTCTGTATGAGGAAGGAAACTTGTAATAGTAAGAGAATTTATGTGAATGTAAAACCATTCAAAAAAAAAAGAAGAAGAACTTGCAAAGCATAAAAAGCAGATTTCCGACTCCCTGACTTCTAGAGATTTTAACAGGTAGGTCTGGCACAAAATCTAGAAATGTGGTCTGTAGACCAGTTATTGAAAAGCATCCCTGTGTTTCAGTATTATCTATGAAGTAGAACCTGAATGCCTTTATTCATACTGTGCATGTGAGACCTTAAGAGATTAAATACTTGTCGAAAATAGCTACATTTACGAAATACAAGTAATTATGGGAACTGGATTCCTCCTTACCAGAAAGGCTCTTTGCCCTACAGACACACAGAGAGGACCTGGAGAAAGTTAAGACATGTGAGGTGCAGCAGAGAAAAGGCTCTGATCAGTCTAGAACAGTGTTTTGCCCTCTGAGTGATTTTGCCCCCCAGGTGACATTCGATAATGTCTGGGGACTTTCTTGTTTGTCACAATTGTAAGAAGGGGAACTACTAGCATCTAGTTGGGACAGGCCAGGGATCAGCTAAACATCCTACATTGCACAAGACAATCCCCCAGACACACAACAAAGCCCTGGCTGGCCTCACCTGTCAACAGTGTCTCGGCTAACCTAAAAGCTCCAAGACCAGGAGGAGATGTGGCCAAGAATTCTGCCCTGAAAGGAGGAGATGGGTAACAGAACCAGACTCATCGGACCCCAGGACAAAGAACCAGGGAGCACATGGGAAGCTCGAGAGTGTCATCTCAGGATAAACAAAATGCAAAGATGTCTAGAGTGAGCAGACGCCTCATAGGACTCACTACTCATGAGAACTAGTTGAGGCTGAAAATAAAGAACTTCCAGAAGAAGTTTAGATGATTTAATATATGACCAAGGCAGAAAGGAAGCCCAGGATATTTAGGGGCTCATCTCTAACCCAGAACCCAAAAGAAAGATGGCTACAAAAGCAGGGTTCTTCCAGAATAGACCACAATGACCCATTTTAGAGACGGCAAGGACCACAGTACTGACATTAAGGGGCCTCTTCCTGCCTCTTGCCATGTGCAGTAGTGGGAAAGGGAAAAGAGAGAGAGGGAGAGAGAGAAAAAAAACATTCTGCTTTGCAACCAATATAAGAGAGGTTCTTTGCTTGGTGTGAACAAAGGTCCCCACCAGACAGGCAGTGCCATGGAAACCAAGCTGCACTGGAGGAATGCAGGCAGCTGACAGGGCCCCACAGGCCAGCCAGCAGGCAGGCGGGGCCTTCACCTACCCAGACTGGGCCGGCCTCCCTGCTCGGAACTGTCTCTGACACACAATTATGGCCCACAGACTTGGGGTGGAGATAGTGATACAATCTACTTTTTAAACTAGTAATGGGAGGAAGAACTTACATCCTCCCAAAAAAAGGGGCGGGGGGGGGGGGGGGGAGAGATAGAGGACCTCACGTCTTCCAATCAGTTGTAGATTCCTCCAAAACAGCACATGGAAAGTAAACACACACACACAGGAAATGCCTGGGGGCTGTGTATTCTGGCCTAGCAGGGTTGAGCTGCTGTTCTTCAACAGCTGTCTTATCTCTACCTCCAGAAGAGAGGCAGGATGCCTCCGTGGTTAGGTGCAGGTTCTGGAATCTGGCTTTGAATCCGAGTTGTGCTACTCTTAGGGTATTGGGCCTGCTATTTTATCACTGAGTCCCACGGTACCCATTTGTAAAATGTGCAGGGCTGCTATGTAATTTAGAGAGAGCAGGAGGTACCTCACCACTCACCTGTCAAGTAATTACGTTAGAGTACTTGACATCAGGCAGCATCAGTATTTGACATCAGCCTAGAGTCCACCCCGAGTGAACGTTTCATTCATATTTCTTAAATTAAGCCCTCTACTAGCTGAAGGGAGAGATGAGGAGACAGCCTCCTCCATCAGACATGCACAGCAGTGTAAAGCAATGAGCTAAATACCCTCAGAGGTGCTGCTGGCAACTTGATAGGGGCTGGAATAATGGGCTACGCTCAGGACACCCAGCTCCACACAGCACTGATTAGCATTCTGTAGGCTCCCTGGCCAGCCACAGCGAGAAGCCCTCTCAACAACTGCCACCCAAACAAGTTGGGGAGAGAACTGGAAAGCCCCTCATGATAGCCCCATCTCATTTCAGGTTTAAAAGCAGGGAAAGACCATATCTGCAGTTTGTCCCTGTTGCCAATGACACTCTGGGCCTTGACTCTGAGGCGGCCTGAGTGCTGCAGAGTGAATCCAGAGGGTCTCTCCCTAGAACGTATCACCTCTGGTTCAGGTAGAACCCAGAGTGGCCTCAGGTAGAGCCGTTCTGCACCCGCAGTGGGTTAATGAGCAGCCAGGAGTGGCCACACTCCCACAGTTCACTTTGGACAGCTCAAGCCCCACCTTCTTAGAAATAAAAAATAAAGCTACTAAGCTATGCTAAATGGAATCATTGGATCTAAATGAATGTCTTTTTTATATGATTTATATCTGTGCATATATTAGACTTACACCCAGAGATGGTAATGGAGACAGTCCGATGAAGCCTCACAAATATATTTTTTAAAAAACTACTCTACCAGCTTATTGCCAAAATCTGAAATCCTGTCTTTACTAAATCATTCTTTATCTAAGAGTCCTGTTTTGTTTTGGTTTTCTTTCTTTTCTTTTTTCTTCTTTCTTTCTTCCTCCATGTTTTCCCACTCATAACACCCACCAGGCGCAGGGCCTGGGCTGAGGCCGACGTGGGATAGGCCTACTCTGCCTCCCCTTTTTCTGTATGGTCAGAGTAAGAACAGAACCTGTGGTAAGCATCAATCAGGAGGGCCTAAATCCTGTTTTAAAATAAAAACACTACAGGGGAAAAAATTGACCCATCTTTTCTTCTAGGTTACTAGCTGCTATGGTCTGTAACTTGATCCCAAAACACATATATGTTAATGGTATTTGGAGGGAAGGCCTTTGGGAAGTAATTAGGCTTAGATTAGATGAGGACATCAGAGTGGGGTCCCCATGAGGACATTAGTGGTTTTCTAAAAGAGAGAGTCAAGCTAGCACAATTGTTCTGTCTGGCTATGGGATGTCCTCCACCATGTTATCATGCAGTAGCAAGGCCCTCCCAGATGCCAGAAGCTAAATAAACTTCTACACTTTAAAAATTACCCAGTCTGTGCTCCTCAGTTACACCAACGAAAAAAGAGTCTAGAATGGCATTCTTGGTACTTGCAGGTGAGGGAGAAGCTAGGTACAAATACAGGTAAAAGTATGTTGAAAGGAGGGCAGAAAGTCAGGGCAACAAATTTACCACTAATTTTAGTGTGAAGGAACTTCTAGGGCCCAAAGATGAAAAATAATCTTTCACACTTTTCACAATCATTAAACGATTCTCACAGTGGAAGTTCGCTGAGACTCAATTTTCCAGATAGTAAGCTCAATTTTCAATTGACCAACTGGTATCAATGTCAGAAAAGTCTCTAATTATCAATAGCCTGATGGTTAGCATATTTATTAATAATAGTAACTTGTTTAAAATTACTCATTTTAAATAAGTAACTATTATTAATAAATATGCTAACCAACAGGCTATTGATGGAAGAAAGAGAAATCAGAGGCTGAATATAAACTAGAATCTATCATTTCTTCTTTTCTCTTGAATCCCTGGAGTATCATGGGTGGAGACCTGAAAAGAACACCCAGAAGCCTAGAGGACGGGTCGCCATCCGCCTTCTGCTCCTTAGTTCTCAGCCATTTGCCCCTGGGTAAGTTGCCTCACCTCTGACTGTTTCTGCACCTGTTAGATTAGACCAGTGGTTTCCAAACTATGTTCCCCAGTGTTCAGAGACCCTGAAGTCCCTCCAGGAAGGCTCACAAGGCAAGGCTAACACCAATCACATATTCCTGCCAACTTCAATCCAAATATCCCCCTCTATCATCTCATGTATTGGGGCCCTGCAAAGTTCAATTTGTAAAAAGGTTTCCTGTGACTGAAAAGAACATCTGGAAAGTTCTAGATTGGGTATTCGCCAAGTTCCTTCCAAAGCGAGCCTCATTGGGGAGTACTCTGGTTCAGAACACCCATGTTAGAGAGTGGCAAAGGGAGCTCAGGGGTCACAGATGGTGGTGGAAGCAGGGCTTACCTGTGATTCTGCCCACTGTTCCTTTCACAAAGTTGCCAGCGTACCCAGCCACATGGGCTCCGAGGCTATAGCCAATCAAGTGAACATTTCTTAGAGAAAAATCATCCTTCTCCTGCAGGAAGTCACCAAAGAGTGTGAGATGAAGAATGTGATCCTGAGCCCCCAGTTCCACCCACCATTCAACAAGTCCTTCAGGATGGAGGAGGGGCCATGGGCACAGAGACTCCCCAGGGCATCAGTGGCATTGCTGAACATGCAACACACATGACTCACAGCCAAGGACGGGGAGGTCACAAGGACTTGGTGGCACATCAAATGCTGAAGGGGCAGAGCAGTGGATGTGACTATAGGCTCCATACCTGACCCTTCCCCTAAATGTTCCCTACATGTTTTCTATTCTATTTGGCAGTATGAGGGGTCAGGGAGAGAGAACAGTATGGATGAAGGTCAAAGCCACCATACTCATTAGAAACTGACATGCCAGCCACAGCCTGCAGCGGATTGTTCTCTGCCTGCCCTCATAAGGCCTTGACCTCCACCCTGGGCCCAGGAGCTGCGGGCATCCTCACCACAAGCCCACATGTGAAGTCAGAGTTGTAACATGATTCCTTTCCAGAGTACTCAACTGTGAGGGAGTGAGGAGATAGGGAACTGACCCCATGGCTCAGGGACCCAACTCTCTCAAACAGTTGTGGCAGAGGAGAGTTGGACTGCTCAAGAATCTTGCCCAGAATTCTAGAGTTCCAGAAAAGCCAGGCTGGAATTGCCCAGATCCTAGAGTCACTTTGCCAATGTACCCCTGTCTCTCCTGCCCTGGTTAAGTCCACTGGTCTCAAGCAAATAATTAACCTATAAAAAGTAAATACAGGACCTCAGGATCTGTTTTCCAGGCTAAATATTTTTAATGAGGTATTAGGCGGCATTTGTTTGAACAAACCTCCTTCCCACCCTAAGCACAGCCATGCTTCAGAGGCAAGAGCAGACTTCAAAAGTTATTTGAAATTACAAACCTGACTGGCTCCTGGCCATTCCCAATAAACCAAGAGTATCAGCTTCTAAGATCAGCAAGTAACTAGCCATAAGACAAATTTTCTTACAACAAATAAAGTCACAGGAAAAATCTAGAGATCTATCAATAATTAAAAGGCTCTCTGAAAGTTCAGGCTTTCAAATATTTCAAATAATACTGAATTCAGCAAAAATTTTAATGTCTATTTTTTTATTGCTTTGTTTTCATTTTATTTTTTATTTTTGGTGTAGTTTGTTGTTTGTTTTGTATCGGGGATTACATTGAGGGGCACTTTACCACTGAGCTACATTTCCAGCCCTTTTTATTTTATTTTTTATTTTTTTATCTCTAGACAGGGTCTCATTAAGTTGCCCAGGCTGGCCTCAAATGTGCAATGCTCCCACCTCAGCCTCCCTTGTAAGTGAGATTACAGGTATGTGCCACCCTGCTTGGCTAATCCCAATGCATTTGATCAGAATCTGGAAATTCATGGTAAAGTATGGCCTGTATTTCCTAAGGCCATTCAGATTTAAGATCCTGCTGGGGAGAGGTAATGACCGCTTTCATTCTTTCATTCCCGGTTACCTGCAGCCAGTCGAGCATCCTTGCCACACTGTGACCCACCATCCTTGTGTTATTGACAGCATCTCTGTAAAGCTGGTGAGCCAGGGGCAGCCAGTCAACTACCACTACATTGGAGTCTTTCTCTCTCATCTGCAGGGCTGACACGAGTTTGTACAGCCAGTTTGCAAGCATGCCACTCGTCTGCAAAGAAAATGGGGAACTTATTTTTATATATTCTTCTCCTGGACTTCAAAACTCCCTATGAATACAGCATTCCATTGCTGACCCTCTCCCCATCCAATTTTAGAGCCTTCACACTTACTACTTAGGAACTAAACATCTGCACATGAGCACAGCCAATCAGAGGCAGAATTGCTACATGGGCATTTTCTTTCATTGCTCTTTACATCCCCAGTTTTTCCTATCAAAACTTTCATAGGTAGTGTCCTATGTAGCTGCCCCACTGTGGGTTGGTGGTGTCACAAGCATGAAGTCCCTGTCACAGGCAAGTGGCCTGCTCCATCCTTCAAAGGCAGCTCGGAAGGGTTGCCTTGGAGAATTAGCTACTCCCTTAGAGATGCAGGGAGATGCTGCCTCCTAGGCAAACACAGAGTTAACAAATGACCCCTTCCCACAACCTATCTCTGCCATCTCTTTTGACCCCAAAGTAGTGAAAATCCATCCCTGGAATTCCAAATTAGAATCCAGAACACATTTTCCCACAGAAACCAAGTTATAAATGGTGACTGAACCCTATCTACAAGTACATTATCAAATAAATAGATTTTCTGTGCCTAGCCTGGGAACCCAAACACAATTTACAATCTTGCTTCTATGGGAAACGGCTGTTCCAAGTTCCAAACACATTATAAAAGAACTTTCTGGAATGCACTCCATTTGTAAGTCACAGGCAGTTTGTATTTGCATTTTGACAGGAAAGACTTAAAAAGGTTCAAACACATGATTTCAATCGGAGGCTGCAGGACGAGGACAGACGGACAAGCCTTTAATCAACCCTTTCTTCACATTAGGTAGGTAGACACCAACCCTTCCTGCCCTTGACCCCATCACAACTGTTGGTGATCGACCTAAACACCCAGAAAGAATGTAACAGGTATGAATTTCTTATCATTAAGTGGAAGAATGTCCCCTCGCAATTAGCCCACGCAGAAACCTGCTCACTTAATAGTGCCATTTTCCTATAGACTGTCATTACATGAATGAATAAATCCCTCGCTGGCCAAGAGATTCTGAAGCTGAGCGTCAAAGCCCTTTTTTGTTGAGGTTTGTCATGGGCCTTTCAATGGGAATTGCTCAGCTAGGGCACATAAAGAGCCCCAGGGCCTTTAAACGGGCCCATCTCTCTGCAAATACAAGGGCGCCATGCCAAAGGCAGCCAGCCAGCCAGGCCAGCTGGCCCTCACAGACTCTGAGCTAGTCAAGTTGCTTCAGTTCAGCTCAGCTCTTACGGAAGGACGGCCCCCTCCAGGCAGTGGTTGACCAATGTAATTAAGTGTAATTAGAGGGTCCTTCAGAGCCAGTGGAGCTGGGCTGCTGCCCTCAGGAGACCCACTTTCTGAAAGCCTGTTGTGTGCCAGCACTAAATACCGCCCTGCTGGAGTCCACATGGCCCCCTCAGCAAAGTGCCCATTACATTCTTCACAGCTGTCTGAAATACAAGCAGCCCACAAGGAAAGAGGGGGAGAGGGTTTAGAATCGGGAAGCACCAGTATTCTTTTTAATTGACCAAAACAAAAGGAACCAAATCTGTGTAAAACCACAGAGCTCCCTCCTCAGGCTCACCGTCCATCCATGAATGATGAAAAAGGTTTTGGCTGTCACGTCGAAGCCACAGTCTTCTAAAGACTGGTTGTGGCCCAGGGAAAGATAGCATCCTTCATGCTCTGGGTCCTTAGAGGTGCGAAGGTTAAAACTCACAGATGGTTTGGACACAGCTTGGACCTTCCTGGACTCGTGAAGATCACCTGGGGAGAAAGAGTAGTATAGATGCTTCTGGTGGCTTGGGTAGTGAGAGAGCTAGGGTCTGATTCTAATTCCATCTTGAGCAAATTACTTAAGCCATTTGGGTTTCACCCTTCAAGAGAATTGTGAAGATAAAGGGACCTCTCATCTATATGCAATCAGTATTAATTAGTCACTGTCATTAATTATTTTGCTCTGAATAAATGGGTGCCTCTGTTTTTCTCTATTCTTGCCTACTGAAATAACTTCTTCTTTCCCTCAAGTTCTACTTTTAAAGCATGACTCCTCAATTCTTTTCCTGAAATGCTTAGGTCCAGTTAAGATTCAGAACTCAGAAATTTGCATATTTTAGGAAAGCATTATAGAACATATACCATTTACTATATAACACTACCAGTGGGGTCTGGGGAATCCCTCATGAATCAAAGACACTGATATTTCTGCAGAAAAATATAGGAGTGCTCACATTTAATGGCAGAAATAAACATTATAAGTAGCCTTCTGCCTTCTCAGGTCAGGCTTTGCTGCCAAAGGAGTTTAGATCAGGTAAGGCTAGGTTTTGCTGACAAACAAGTTCCCAACAAATTTTCCCCTTTTGAGAGAGATTGGATTTTGCAATCGGAGTTCAGAGGCTATTGACCAGTGGTACAGTGGGCTTTTCCCTGTGTTCCCAATTCTATTCCAGCACTTACTTCAAAGACCTCATGCATCCTCAGAGCCCTGTGCAGTACCAACAGACACCAGGCATTCAGCTTGTTGGTAACATAAAGGATTGAAGCTGCACCCCTCCAGCTGCACTGCTTGCACACAGTGCCCCATAGGCAATGGCCCTGCTCCCCAAAGTGCAGCCTGTTCCACTGATGGTCCCTGTATAGGCAGTCACTGTCACCCCAACACTATTCCCAATAATCATTAATGGACCCCCGCCAGCACTCTTTCAGTCATCCTGGTAAGCATCACTTGCTAACTACTTAGGAGATCAAACTCTCCTGTCATCTACAATCGGGGAAATACTAAGTGACCACCCAGGAGCTTAATTTATTGCAGAGTTAAGAAGCAAAAGAAGCTGGGTGTGGTGGCACATGCCTCTAATACCAGCTACTTGGGAGACTGAGGCAGAAGGATCACAAGTTCAAACCCAGCCTTGACAGCTTAGCAAAACTCCATCTCAAAATAAAATAAAAAAGGCTGGGGATGTAGCTCAGTGGTAGAGCACTCCCTTAACATGTACATGGCCCTGTGTTTAAACCCAGTTACCCACCCACCCCCAAAATAAAAAGAGGGAAGCAAAAGAAATTATGGAAAAACATATTATAGTTGAAGGGGTGGTGAGTGTTAAATTGGGGCAAAGGAACAGAAGGTGGAAAGAAATATACCAGATGAAAAGGGGATAATGTTCTGTAAAATGTAGCACATGAGCAGAACCCAGGCTATCATGAAAGTCACGAACAAAAGCTCCAACTGGCAGAAATTTGAACCCTGGACATAGTTTGACAGCTCCCCAACTTCCACCTGGATAGCCACTCACACAGAGAACAGATGGGAAGCCTAGAAGAGGTCTACTGTCCCCTGAGACAGACTTACAGATAAGCACATGAATGGATAAAAAAAAGTTCACCTTGGTTTCTGGCTCCATCTGCGACCCCACAATACTCTATCTTCATTCCTGTTACTTTGGACCAGGGTCACTTCAGTCTGTGGGACTTTATGACTGTTCTTCACCCTGGTGTCCTTGTGGCTCATTCTCTCACCTCCTTCAGCTCCTTTACTCAAGGATCAATCAAGTTCTGGGTAATGCCTTCCCTGAGCACAAATTAAAATCTCACCACCTTCCACCAGCAGCACTCCATAACGTCCCCTCTACTTTCTTTTCTTCCATAACCCTAAGCACCATTTATATATTTTCATAAATGCACCATCTGTTTTCCCACCAATAACATGTAAGCTCCACTAGGACAGGGACTATAATCCTGTTCTCTTTTATGCTGTCATCTCTGCTCCTGAAAGAGTTCCTGGTACTAAGCAGGAAAGCAACAAATAGTTTTCAAATGAATGGCATGGCCTCCAAATCATCAAAAGTCAGAATATAGGACCTGGAAGGAACTTCAGCGTTTCTCAGGAGACAAACTAGAGAGGGTCATGCTTCTAGTTAGCACTAGAGTTGGAAACCTGTTAGGCAAAGCAAACCTTCCCCATTCATTTCCATTAACAGCCCCATGCACATATAAGCCAACTCGGACCTCTGCAGACAAGTGGATGAAATGATGGGGCTGGGTTTTGGGATTTCCCAGCCTTTCTCTACTTAACTAGATGATAGTACTGGCTCCAAGTGACCCTACTCTCACTCCACCAGGCAGACTGCCTCCAATGGAACAGACTTCCATACAGAACTCAAAAGGAAGAAAAGCTAGAGTCTAGGAGGAGGCCCGGGAAGAGTGGGGAAAGAAAGAGCTTTGGGGAGGAAGAGGCTGACAATCTGGAGGAGCTAGGACGCCAGGCAGCCTCTCAACCCAAGCCACCCACTAGATGCTCCCTGCAAGCACTAATCAAACTAAAGCCAGCTCCCCTGCCACCTTCACTTTCAAAACCCTGGGCCAAGGTTAAAAGGAGGAGCGCTGGAAGGCAGAGCTCTTTCCAACAACTTTTTTGCCTCTCAACCCTCCAGCTTCAAAGACAGGAAAAGGTTTTAGAACTGCCCACAGGCAAACGGGTGGCTGGACAGCACCGATTAAGGGACTCATACAATGGAAGCAGGCGGGATGAGATAGGGCAAGACAGACAACACCCTGCCCGCCTGTTGCCTCCTCTTGATTTACCAGGGGATGCCCTCATTAGAAGCGCTGAAGGACAAGTGGCTCCAGGTTGATGAGAAAGATGGACAGCGCTGTGGGGAAGCAAGGAGGATTTCGGAGGAACAAGGAGGAACCAAAGAAGGGCCGGCAAGACAGAGAGGACCCAGCACAGAAAAGAAGTGGGGAGTGGGTAATAAACATAGATGCACGTTACCTTCCAGCCGTCCCTCGGGACCAAAGGGTGTGGGGCTTCCCGCCGCAAAGCAACAATAGGCGCTCCAGAAGCAGAGTAAAGGAACCGAGTTCTTCATCCTTCCCCGCCACGCCCCCTCCCCTGAAACAGGGATTTCAAACAAAACAAAACACCACCACCTCCCGAGCCAGTAAGACCAAAAGTGGGCACCCTTCTCTCGGTCAGATTGATGGGCTAGAGAGAGCTGGAGGAGAAGGTGGAAATTGAAAACCTGGCTGCCCTGACGGCGGGCGGTGGGAGGGAAGAGCGAGGAGGGACTTGCGGCAGAAGCCGACCTGCGCTCGCTCTGAGCTGCCGGGAAGCCGGGGCTCGCCACTGTCACACCGAGAGCTCCTAGCGAGGTAGTTTTTTAAAGTATTGAAGTCATCTGACCCATCGCCAGATGGTTATTTGCATAATTTATTCCCAAATCTGGGCTCTGATTGGTCACGCCTTCGGTGACGCCCAAACCGAGACTCCCCAAAGTTTGAATGAAAGCGCCCGCACACCCACCGCGTGGACACTAGCACAAGTGGCCTTGCTTCCGCGGCCGCTCCACAGGCTGCCGCGACTCCCGCCACCTCCGCTTCCCTGTAGTGTCTCTCGCAGACCCGTAGGTCCTCCACTAGCCCTTCCGCCCCCCGAGGGGCACATTTCCCCGAAACCGTGCGCGCTCTGGGAACGCGATCCCAGGCGAACTAACAGAGAGTCGGGATTGGGGGAAGCCAACTTTTCCTCCACTCCAGACCGGAGAGTACTGCAACAGGTGCAAACGTCGTGATTGGACTTAACCCCGCAGAGCTGGGGGACTGTGGGCTGTGACCCACGCTTCAAAGTCACACAAAACCTGCTCAGAGTACCTGGTTCCACCACTAGCTGCAAAACTCAGCCAGACACCCAGTTTCTCCAAGGCCATCCTGTCGTCCTCAGTTCGCGGGTGATAACCGTTCCTGCCACTTCAGGATTTGGGGGAAATTGATAAGAGTTTAATGTTGGAAAGGCTTAGTGCGGCACCGGGAATGTGGTAGGCGCTCTCCTACACAGGGTGGAGGAGTAGAAGGATAGAAGGCGACCCTCCCCAAAGGGAAGAGTGAGCCTAACTTGATGGAGAGGGTCTTAGACGCGTGGCCCAGCCTCCGCTGCGCGCTGTAATTATCTGGTGAGTGGAATTAGACACGTTCTTCCTCTCTTTCCTCCATCATTTCCCCACTCTTATCCTCCCCTTTTAACTGAGATCCCAAAGATGGTGGAATGAAATGGACATCCTTACCCCAGATATATGTATGACTGCACATATGGTGCGACGCTACATCCAGCACAACAAGAGAAATGAAAAGTTGTGTCGCAATTGTGTATAATGAATGCATTTTGCTATTATACAGACCTAATTAAAATTAATTAATTAATTATTTTTTAAAAGTGGCGAGCGCCTGAGACTTTGGCCTGAAGTCTGCGTCTGGAGCTTGGGACCTTGGCGGAGCCACCGCGTCCGGAAACCTGGGAGGACCCAGGGAGCTGGAACGCACCAACGCATTTTCTGCGCACAACCATCCAGACTCCTTCCAACCGGGGACAGCTGGCTCTGCAAGGCGGCACCCTTGACCGAGAGTAACCCTGCCGTCATGAGGAACAAGTCCCGCCCCTGCCAAAGGAGAAGAACCCCCGCAGCAGCCCCTTCAGTGGTGTCGACGCTCCAGTTTGAGAGTCGACAGTTTGAGGAAAACGATCCGGAGCAAGCAGGTCCTGTTCTGACCTATCCTAGTTATTTTGTTACTCCAGCTGCCATCCGAGCACGCTTTGTCCCTCTTGTGTGCTATCATCCATTAACAGGAGGCAAGCTGGCTGTATTTTGTTTTAAATATAAAACTCAATACTCTATATGGGATGGTTAGTCATCCCCAGACTTGTCACTCCCATCCCCCGCCCGCCCTCGCTCTCCATTGACAAACTATGCAGACACAGATCAAGTGTTAGCTCCATTGTACAGATGCGAAAACCGGCACCGGGGCAGGCTGCACATTTAAAGGAAATCTCGTAACAGGATCCCTCTTTTCTGCTCTAGGTTTGATTTGGCCAGTTGACCTCTAAATATGAGCCGCTGGCAGCCTTATCTCCATCTCCTTAATGGTTGAGGCAGGGAGTAAACTACGATTAAAAAATTCTTGCCCATAGAGGTGGTGCACCTGTGTGGCTCAGGAGGCTGAGGCAGGAGGATCACAAATTCAGGGCCAGTCTTAGCAACATAGCAAGACCCTGTCTCAAAAATAAAAATAAATAAACGGGACTGAGGATGTAGCGCAGTAGTAAAGCACCTCTGGGTACAATCCCCAGCAAACAAAATAAATAAATATAAAAAATTAAAAATCCTCCTTAACCCAGCAAGCTCAGCTACTCTGGGGATGAGGCAGGGTTGGTAGAGCCCAAAAGTTCAGAGCAGCCTGGGCAACATAGTAAGACACCTTATCAAGGAAAAAAGGAAAATCCCCTTTCCTGTTGGTTGTTCATAGCCATTGTCCCAATAATATTAATTGGACAATATGGAGGGTGTGTCTTGGAGACCTTTGTCACAAGTGAGATATTCTGGGAGAGGCAGGTATTGCTACAAAAATTGATTATCCTGTCTGAGGGAAAAAACAAGATCAACAAATCAATGCCCATTTTTTAACTTCCCAGGCTATGAAACCAGTTGTTTTATTGCTGGTTGGTTAGAGTGCCCCCCTGTGTCTCCATATTAAAATATCATGTAAGAAATTCCAAAGGACAATGAAATTTTAATAGTAGCATTCAAATGTATATCATCAACTCCTGTTCTCCATACTTCCCAGAAAACCCACAAGGAGATCTATGAGCCTTCTACATGAAGGAATTTTCAACTGAGGAGTCTTGGTGGAAACTTCAGTTGTGTTTTAGACAAAATTGCAAGGTCAGGACTACCATGGTAAGAACTCTAGTCACTTCCTTTTGGCAACCCATCTTCTAAAAGGCTCTTCCTATGTTACGGCTGTGAATCTCCCTTGTATGGAAAGAGCCCACTTTGCACTACAGAAGCTAAAAACCAAACCCTCACCTCCCCAACCTCCCTTACAGCTGGTTCCCAATTTAAACTCAGGCAATATCGGGCAGCCAGGTCTGCTCCTCTGGCTTGATAGTTTGGGGGCACTGCTCTCTGCTTCAGTGAGTCCTCCAAGCCTGGGTCTTCTGTCCTGCAGAGACTCCAAATGCCACCCAATATTTTATTAATGAGTTCATCTTTAGCATTAACTCTCCAGAAACCACTTGTATTGCTTACAACTAAATAAATATATAAATAAATAATAAAAATAAAAAACTGACTTAATCATCAGATGTTTATTGAGCAGCCATCCAGAAGAAACACTGGATTTGAATGCTCCAAGGCATTTGTTAATCTCATGGGCTCTAAACCTTGAAAGCCATCTTTATGTCATTCTCTAATGTTTATCTCCAGCTTAAACCCCTCTCCCTAAACTGCAGACGTGATAATGATCTTAGTTACCAAAAAGGATCTCAAACATGCTACATTCTAAACTGAGTCCCCAACTTGTCCCTCCAAAGCTACTCCTGCCTCAATCTTCCCAATCTTAATAAGTGGCAAATTAATCCTCCTAGACATTCCAGCCAACAACTGACGTCAGATTTTACTTCTCCCATTTTTTTCTTATCCCAAATCCAAAATCCAACAAATCCCAGTGGTTCCTCCTTCAAGACTAGTCCAGAATCTGAACACCTCCACAGCGTCCACCCCAGTCCAACCCCAGCATATGTCACCTGATATAAACCAGCTGACATACCCTCCAGTGTCACCTCATCTCATTCGTAGTCCCTGACTCTGCAAAACCTCCGCTTCACCTCTCTGACATGAATGCACCCTACTCTCCCCCAACTCAGATCCCTCCTACACCCCACATGTTCCCACTGCAGGCCTTCTATGCTATTTCCTCTATTGATCACTCAGATACTAACATGTGGCCCACTCTCTCATTCCTTCAGGTCTTTGCTCAAGTGTCAGTGTCTCCATGGAGGTTCCCTGAACACCAGATTTAAAGTTGCAAACCCCCACTCTCAGCACTGTTTCCAGCCCGTTAATTTTCTCTATAACACTTACCGCCCTCTGACACACTCTATAGCTTAACTATTGTTTACAGTGTGCCTTCCCCCACTAAGATAAGGGGAATTTTTGTCTATTTTGATCATTGTTGTATTCCCAGCACCAGGACTTAATATATATTTGTTAAATAAATGCATGATAAATTTTCAAACTCTAAATTTTCTCAAAGCCCCCAAAAAGTATCAAAATTCTTTTTTTATAATAATCCAGAATAAAACCGATACCAAAAAGAAACAAAAAATAAATTTAAAAGAAACTAATGCCAAACTACCAAACTAATATTGACAAGATTGAAATAAAGCTGTCCCTCTCCTCGGACTATACCCAAAGGACTTGAAAACAGCATACTACAGGGACACAGCCACATCAATGTTTATAGCAGCATAATTCACGATAGCTGTGGAACCAACATAGTTGCCCTTCAATAGATGAATGGATAAAAAAAAGTGGTATATACACACAATGGAATATTACTCAGCATAAAAGAAAATAAAATCATGGCATTTGCAGGTAAATGATGGAGTTGGAGAAGATAATGCTAAGTGAGGTTAGCCAATCCCAAAAAACCAAATGCCTAATGTTTTCTTTGTTATAAGGAGGCTGATTCATAGTGGGATAGGGAGTGGGAGCATAGGAGAAATAGACGAACTCTAGATAGGGCAGAGGGGGTAGAGAGGAAGGGAGGGGACATGGGGTAATTAATGATGTAGAATGTGATGATCATTATTATCCAAAGTACAGGTATAAAGACACGAATTGATGTGAATATACTATGTATACAACCAGATATATGAAAAATTGTGCTCTATATATGTAATAATAATTGTAATACATTTTGCTGTCATATATAAATAAAAAAATTAAATTAAAAAGAAGAAAACTATAAACCAGTTTCATTTCAAGCATTTTACATAAAATATTAACAAATAATACTCATGAGTGCATTCAAAGTA